GTGCTAGGGCGTGGTCGTGCTGGGGCGTGGTCGTGCTGGGGCGTGGTCGTGCTGGGGTGTGGTCGTGCTGTGGTGAGGTCGTGCTGGGGTGTGGTCGTGCTGGGGTGTGGTCTTGCTGGGGTAGGGTCGTGCTGGGGTCGGGTCGTGCTGGGGTGTGGTCGTGCTGGGGTATGGTCGTGCTGGGGTGGGGTCGTGCTGGGGTGGGGTCGTGCTGGGGTCTGGTCGTGCTGGGGTGTGGTCGTGCTGGGGTATGGTCGTGCTAGGGTGGGGTCGTGCATTTCGCTCGAGACATCCTGCCAAAATTCCAGGAAATCGTACAAAAACAAAGGAATTAGTCGAGACATCATCGAAATTCCTTCGCGCGGGGCGCTTTTCCGCGTCGCGGTCGGCTCTGCAAAACAAGCGTTTCGCTCGAGACATCCTCGGCAAACTCTGCGGAGCAAGCGTTTCGCTCGAGACATCCTCAACACACGAAAAAGTGGCCCGCACCCTGTGATTTATCGATCGGGATTTCAAAAACAAGCGTTTCGCTCGAGACATCCTCAAATTTTAATTCGCCGGCCTCCTTCGACCTCGATATTTATCAGGGAAAAAATTCGCCGGCCTCCTTCAAGTTGGCACCGGGGGATTAGGTTTACCAACTAAAAGAGAACCCTGGGCCCCCGCCCTTTCCGGGAAAAACACATGGTTCCAGCTCGGGGCAGCCATGTTAGATACCCCCCTGCGTGACCTAAATATGCTAAATTCGCGTTCCCGCTCGAGAAATCCTCGCAATGTCTTCCCTGGAGAGGCCCCCAAAGCGCAACCCCCTGTTCAGAGCAAGAAACCATCACTTTTCTGTATTGGGACATGTGTTCGGGTAGCGCTTTTCGGCCCCCCGTGCGTTTCCTCATAATTCGGCGTTCGGCCCGACGCCATGTTAGACACCCCAACTCTGCAAAACTAGCGTTTCGCTCGAGACATTCTCAACAAATGATGAAAAACAAGTGTTTCGCTCGAGACATCCACCAACTCTGCAAAACCAGCGTCTCGCTCGAGACACCCTCAATAAATTTACTATAAAAAAAACCAGCCTTTCGCTCGAGACATCCCCCAACTCTGCAAAACCAGCGTTTCGCTCGAGACATCCTCAGCAAATTCTGAAAAACAATCGTTTCGCTCGAGAGATCCTCGAAAATAATTCCGTCGGCCGTCTTCCCGCACGTAATTTATCGCAGAGTAATTCCGCCGGCCCTCTTCCCGTCGATGCCGGGGGCAAACTTCTAAAAGAGAGCCCTGGGCTTCAGCCCTTTCCGGGAACAAGCATTTCGCTCGAGACATCCCCCAACTCTGCAAAACCAACGTTTCGCTCGAGACATCCTCAGCAAATTCTGAAAAACAACCGTTTCGCTCGAGAGATCCTTGAAAATGATTCCGCCGGCCCTCTTCCCGTACGTAATCTATCGCAGAATAATTCCGCCGACCCTCTTCCCGTCGATGCCGGGGGCAAACTTCTAAAAGAGAACCCTGGGCTTCAGCCCTTTCCGGGAACATGATCGACCCACGAACCCGGAAAGGAATATAGAAATGTAAAGCATGGCAACGTTTTCAAAGACACCTGATTGGGTGACGGGCAAGTGCAATGCTGATTGTATCGATCTTGATGTACCGTGCCGAGGGCTGTGCTGTGCTGCACCGTGCTGAATTGCGATGTGCCATGCCGCGGTTGTGCTCTATAGCGTCGTGGATCGAGTCTTCCTTTGCATCCGAGTCCTGACCGAACTGATCTGGATCAGAAGCTCGAGCTGCCTGAACACATAGTAGCTGCCCCAGAGCTCATTGACAGGGGGACATGCCAGGAGGACGCGCCGCGAAACGTCCCAAGGGACGCGCCAGGCGACGTGCCAAGGGACGTGCCATCGGGTCGCACCGTAGGACGTGCCAAGGGGACGCGCTACGGGACATCCTCAAAATTCCTGCGCGCGGGACGTGGCACGCGCGAGACATCCCCGGAATTCCTGCGAGCGGGACGTGAAAACAAACATTTCGCCTGAGACATCCTGAGAATTCTGGCCCCCCACGAGGCCCCCGCTCGAGACATCCCCCAAGTTTGCAAAACCAGCGTTTCGCCGGAGACATCCTCAACAAATTATGAAAAACAAGCGTTTCGCTTGAGACGTCCGATCAAAATCCAAGGACATCCTGGCAAAACAAACGAATTAGTCAAGACTTCCTCAAAATTCTTGCGCGCGGGACGCGGCACGCGCGAGACATCCTTGGAATTCCTGCGAGCGGGACACGAAAACAAGCATTTCGCCTGAGACATCCTCTGAATTCTGGCCCCCCACGAAGCCCCCGCTCGAGACATCCTCAAATTTTTCAAAACCAGCGTTTCCCTCGAGACATCCTCAACAAACTATGTAAAAAAAGCGTTTCGCTCGAGACATCCTACCAAAATTCTAAGAAATCCGAGCAAAACAAACAAATTAATATAGACATCCTCGAAATTCCTGCGCGCGGGACGCGGCACGCGCGAGACATCCTCGGAATTCCTGCGCGCGGGGCGCTTTTCCGCGTCGGGGTCGGGGCTCCAGACCTCGTTATGTTTGAGGATTCTGCGAAAAACGCTCCGCATCCTTGTGTTACAAGGGAAAACGGAGGTCTGCGGACCCTGTTTTTTATCGAGGATCCGAGATGGGGGGCGCACTTTCCTCGAGCGGGCACGCACGAAACGCATTTTTTCGACTGAAAATCAACACTTTACCTTGTTATTTACGCAGAATAATTTAGCCGGCCCCCTTCAAGTCAAAACCGGGGGTAAACCAACTAAAAGAGAACCCTGGGCCTAAGCCCTTTCCGGGAAAAACAAACAAATTAGTCGAGACAACCTCGAAATTCCTGCGCGCGGGACGCGGCACGCGCGAGACATCCTCGGAAGCCCTGCGCGCGGAGCGCTTTTCCGCGTCGCGGTCGGGGCTCCAGACCTAGTTTTTTTGAGGATTCTGTTAAAAGTCTCCCGCACCCTCCATTTTACAAAAGAAAGCGGAGGCCCGCGGACCCCGTTATTTATTGAGGATCCGAGATGGGGGGTCGACTTTCCTCGAGCGGGCCCGCGCGAAATGTTTTTTTCACGCCGAATTGAACTTTACCTAATTTTTTATCGAGTGGAATTCCGCCGGCCCCCTTCAAGTCAAAACCGGGGGTAAACCTACTAAAAGAGAACCCTGGGCCCACGCCCTTTCCGGGAACATGATGGACCCACGAACCCGGAAAGGGATATAGACATGTGGAGCATGGACACGTTTTCATGATACCCAACTGGGCAACACCTCACGAAACATCCCACGAGACACCTCACGAAACAGCCCACGAGACACCTCACGAAACATTCCACGAGACACCTCACGAAACATTGCACGAGACACCCCGCGAAACATTCCACGAGACACCCCACGAAACATTCCACGACGACAGGCAACCACTCAACCAAGGCGGTGTGGTCGTGCTGGGGAGTGGTCGTGCTGGGGTGTGGTCGTGCTGGGGGGTGGTCGTGCTGGGGGGTGGTCGTGCTGGGGGGGTGGTCGTGCTGGGGGGTGGTCGTGCTGGGGCGTGGTCGTGCTGGGGCGTGGTCGTGCTGGGGCGTGGTCGTGCTGGGGCGTGGTCGTGCTGGGGCGTGGTCGTGCTGGGGTGTGGTCGTGCTGTGGTAAGGTCGTGCTGGGGTGCGGTCGTGCTGGGGTGTGGTCTTGCTGGGGTGGGGTCGTGCTGGGGTGTGATCGTGCTGGGGTGGGGTCGTGCTGGGGTGTGGTCGTGCTGGGGTGTGGTCGTGCTAGGGTGGGGTCGTGCTGGGGTGGGGTCGTGCTGGGGAGTGGTCGTGCTGGGGTGTGGTCGTGCTGGGGTGTGGTCATGCTGGGGCGTGGTCGTGCTGGGGTGGGGTCGTGCTGGGGTGGGGTCGTGCTGGGGTGGGTTCGTGCTGGGGTGCTCCGCACCCTGTGATTTATCGATCGGGTCGTGCTGGGGTGTGGTCGTGCTGGGGTGTGGTCGTGCTGGGGTGTGGTCGTGCTGGGGTGTGGTCGTGCTGGGGTGTGGTCGTGCTGGGGCGTGGTCGTGCTGGGGCGTGGTCGTGCTGGGGGGTGGTCGTGCTGGGGGGGTGGTCGTGCTGGGGGGTGGTCGTGCTGGGGCGTGGTCGTGCTGGGGCGTGGTCGTGCTGGGCGTGGTCGTGCTGGGGTGTGGTCGTGCTGTGGTGAGGTCGTGCTGGGGTGTGGTCGTGCTGGGGTGTGGTCTTGCTGGGGTAGGGTCGTGCTGGGGTCGGGTCGTGCTGGGGTGTGGTCGTGCTGGGGTATGGTCGTGCTGGGGTGGGGTCGTGCTGGGGTGGGGTCGTGCTGGGGTCTGGTCGTGCTGGGGTGTGGTCGTGCTGGGGTATGGTCGTGCTAGGGTGGGGTCGTGCATTTCGCTCGAGACATCCTGCCAAAATTCCAGGAAATCGTACAAAAACAAACGAATTAGTCGAGACATCATCGAAATTCCTTCGCGCGGGGCGCTTTTCCGCGTCGCGGTCGGCTCTGCAAAACAAGCGTTTCGCTCGAGACATCCTCGGCAAACTCTGCGGAGCAAGCGTTTCGCTCGAGACATCCTCAACACACGAAAAAGTGGCCCGCACCCTGTGATTTATCGATCGGGATTTCAAAAACAAGCGTTTCGCTCGAGACATCCTCAAATTTTAATTCGCCGGCCTCCTTCGACCTCGTTATTTATCAGGGAAAAAATTCGCCGGCCTCCCTCAAGTTGGCACCGGGGGACAGGTTTACCTACTAAAAGAGAACCCTGGGCCCATGCCCTTTCCGGGAAAAAGGGCTCCCTGTGGTCGTCCTGGGGCCCTCTTGAGCCCTCTTGGGGCCCTTCAGAGCCGTCTTCGGGGCCCTCTTGAGCCGTCTTGGGGCCCTCTTGGGCCGTCTTGGGGGCTTGGCTCGTCTTGGGGCCCTGTGGGGCCCTCTTGGGGGGCCTCCCACGGCACTCAGGGGGGCTCTCCTTTTTTCTCACTGCGAGCACTCGATCCTTCCGCAAGATGAGGTGGCTCATGTGGCAATTGACGGATTGTCAGCCCAAACAGCCTGTCCTTACACTATCGAGGGCAATCACCACGATGCTAAGTAAGACGGATCATGAGCCTGGCCGCGGAGCGCGTCTTGGAGGGCAGGGGAGGGGCGGGAGGACTGCCAGTAAGGGAGGGGGGTGGGCGGGGGCCCGAGTGGCCCAAGTGCCACCTCGGCTGCCGCAGACCTGCCAGTCAGGGCTCGGCCTGAGGGCGCCCCTAACTCCCTAGGCGAAGATTCGCACCGGCAACCCGCGGGCCGGCCCCTTGTCCTCGTGGGGGGGCGCCAGCACGGGCAACATGACGGCGTCCGTCACACCGCACCAGGCGTCGAACGCGCGCTTGCGAGCCTTGCACGCCTCTTCGCTCTGCCCCGCGCGCGCGTTGGCCTCGCCCCACACGTCCCTCCGCCAATGGAATTTCGCGTGGAAGTGGCGCGGGGTCTTGCAACCGTCGGGCAGCCACACGAAACAGCCAGTGCTCCTCGGCCGAGCTGGGCCGCAGGCGAGACCGGGCGCGGAGCACATGCGTTCTGGGGCCGAGGCGGCCTGTGTCGCGTTCTCCTTCTGCGCCTGTCCCGGGAGCTCCGGCGGCGTGTCCTCGACGAAAGGTGCGGCGAGGTCCTCGTCCGCGTCCGGGTCGTCGGGAGCCACCCTGCTGGAGTCCTCATTCTGCCCAGCACGGCATGGCCTGGTAGGGCACACCAAGAACCACAGGTCGTCGGCATTCATGGCCTCCTGGACGTCCTCAAAGGTGGCGGACTTGTTCAACGTCGGGAAACGGAGGTACGTGAGGCCCCGGCTCGTGAGCCAGTCCACTTGGCGGTAGCACTCTTCGCCCTGCAGAGCGGTGCGGCAATCGGCCTCGGCTGCCTCGGCGACCTTCTGCAGCTGGACGGCTCCCGCGTGCGCTCCCCAAAGCAGGGCGGCGAGGACGCAGGCGTGTGCCGGCGGCATCGCGCGGCAGGGCGGGGCAACAACAGGTGCGGTTTGCGGGAGTGGGCCGGCGCTTGCCTTGCCGTCGCTTGAGCCAAAATTGCTACGGGTGCACTCGGGGGGCTCTTGGCTGCCCCTTGGGGCCCTCATGGGCCCTTCATGAGCCGTCTTGGGACTCCCTGTGGTCGTCCTGGGGCCCTCTTGAGCCGTCTTGGGGCCCTTCAGAGCCGTCTTCGGTCGATCTGAGCCCGAAGAGGCGATTACCCCACACTCAATGAAACCCCAACATAAGCGTCCTGTGCCTCTTCAGGCCGTCAGGGGGTCCTCTTGGGGGGCCCTGTTGGGCAGTTCAGGGGCCCTCTTGGGCCGTCTTGGGGGGCTTGGCTCGTCTTAGGCCCTCTTGGGCCGTCTGGGGGGGCTTGGATCGTCATTGTAGCAGCTGCCGCGCGTCGTTGCATCGCAGTTCGACTCTGTCTGGCCGCTGGCCGAGTAAACGTCACCAGTTTTTAAGGCGCGGCCGTTTAGGTTGCCACTGCACGTGTGCTGGGCGTTGCGTGTTTGTGTGCATGTTGTGTGTGCGTGGTAGGTTTGGTTTTACCTTTGCGATGCGATGTTGAAGCTTGTGCTGGGCACTCCTCAGAGGCAAAGCTATGCTCGGATATGTTGCCTTCTGTTGTCTTGCCTTGATGTTGCATCTGACGGCCGACGCACATGAGCGAGCGAGAGGTCCTTAGACCTCCTAGGCGCAATCGCGCCTATCCGCACGCAGCGTGCCGATGGTAGCGCGAATGCAATTTTTGTTTGTTCTATCGGTGTCGGGCCCAAAAGAGAATCCCATCACTGAGAGTGCTCATGCCCAGGCCCGGGGCCACTGCCGTTTTTTTTGTTTATTTGTTTGCGTTGGTACTGTGTCCGCGCGTTTCCCGTCGCTGCGCGATTATATTTTAGAGTGTTGCCGATCCCCCCATGCCCCAGCGACCCATCAGTCTCGCGAAGCTTCGGCCGCTCCTGGCCGGGAGGGCCGAAGAGTAGGAGCGTGGGACAGGGAAGCATCGGCATAGCATCGGCATCATATACAGAAGTCAACAACGTTCTGGGGGATGCCAGCCCGTCCTCGGAAAGCTGGCCCGACGCCAAACTTCGTGACATCTTTGTTGCTCTGGTCTTGGTCCGTGCTTGGGTCAGATCTGTGGTGCAAACTATCATGTCTCCCTGCCTGTCGGCCGCGCCATCGCGGATAGGCCGGTACAGCCAAAACAAAGGTAGCATCACAATTTTAATGCTGCGCTGCTCGCCGCACTTTCTGTGCAGCGATGTGCTTGTGCGGTGCCATGCTGTGTGGCGCGCGAGGCATAGCATAGCGCGGCAAAGATCTGCCTCGCCAGAGTAATGCATGTTTCGGTGCGCCGGCCCATTCTCTATCGGCCACGCGGCCGGGGCAGCAGAGCACAGTGCTGAGAGAGTGTGTGTGTGTGTGTTGGGCTCGCCGCGTCTTGGCGCGGGAAGGGTGGCAACGCCCCTCTCGCTCCAGACGAGGCGTCGTCCGTAAACGTGATGGCTCAAAGTGCGAGTCACGAGGAAAATGGTGCACACTCGATCCGACGAGGAACGACAACGCCGTTTCCTGGTCCGGGTGGCCACCAGCGTGTCATCCCTACTACTAGTATCCATTCACTTTCACATCCCCCTTGAACCCAACACCTCACACCACTTCACTTTCAGCCCATCCGTGACTCGAGAGAAGCTGACCCTCCTGTCTGGGGGCACTGTCGTGCAGGAGCATCTGGGTAGATTCGGGGACAGGTGAAAATGGCAGAGGATACGAACGTGATCTCAAGTGCTGGGGCCTCTTGGGGGGCCTCCCACGGCACTCAGGGGGGCTCTCCTTTTTTCTCACTGCGAGCACTCGATCCTTCCGCAAGATGAGGTGGCTCATGTGGCAATTGACGGATTGTCAGCCCAAACAGCCTGTCCTTACACTATCGAGGGCAATCACCACGATGCTAAGTAAGACGGATCATGAGCCTGGCCGCGGAGCGCGTCTTGGAGGGCAGGGGAGGGGCGGGAGGACTGCCAGTAAGGGAGGGGGGTGGGCGGGGGGCCGAGTGGCCCAAGTGCCACCTCGGCTGCCGCAGACCTGCCAGTCAGGGCTCGGCCTGAGGGCGCCCCTAACTCCCTAGGCGAAGATTCGCACCGGCAACCCGCGGGCCGGCCCCTTGTCCTCGTGGGGGGGCGCCAGCACGGGCAACATGACGGCGTCCGTCACACCGCACCAGGCGTCGAACGCGCGCTTGCGAGCCTTGCACGCCTCTTCGCTCTGCCCCGCGCGCGCGTTGGCCTCGCCCCACACGTCCCTCCGCCAATGGAATTTCGCGTGGAAGTGGCGCGGGGTCTTGCAACCGTCGGGCAGCCACACGAAACAGCCAGTGCTCCTCGGCCGAGCTGGGCCGCAGGCGAGACCGGGCGCGGAGCACATGCGTTCTGGGGCCGAGGCGGCCTGTGTCGCGTTCTCCTTCTGCGCCTGTCCCGGGAGCTCCGGCGGCGTGTCCTCGACGAAAGGTGCGGCGAGGTCCTCGTCCGCGTCCGGGTCGTCGGGAGCCACCCTGCTGGAGTCCTCATTCTGCCCAGCACGGCATGGCCTGGTAGGGCACACCAAGAACCACAGGTCGTCGGCATTCATGGCCTCCTGGACGTCCTCAAAGGTGGCGGACTTGTTCAACGTCGGGAAACGGAGGTACGTGAGGCCCCGGCTCGTGAGCCAGTCCACTTGGCGGTAGCACTCTTCGCCCTGCAGAGCGGTGCGGCAATCGGCCTCGGCTGCCTCGGCGACCTTCTGCAGCTGGACGGCTCCCGCGGGCGCTCCCCAAAGCAGGGCGGCGAGGACGCAGGCGTGTGCCGGCGGCATCGCGCGGCAGGGCGGGGCAACAACAGGTGCGGTTTGCGGGAGTGGGCCGGCGCTTGCCTTGCCGTCGCTTGAACCAAAATTGCTACGGATGCACTCGGGGGGCTCTTGGCTGCCCCTTGGGGCCCTCATGGGCCCTTCATGAGCCGTCTTGGGGCTCCCTGTGGTCGCCATGGGGCCCTCTTGAGCCGTCTTGGGGCCCTTCAGAGCCGTCCACGGCCGATCTGAGCCCGAAGAGGCGATTACCCCAACACACAATGAAACCCCAACATAAGCGTCCTGTGCCTCTTCAGGCCGTTAGGGGGTCCTCTTGGGGGGCCCTGTTGGGCAGTTCAGGGGCCCTCTTGGGCCGTCTTGGGGGGCTTGGCTCGTCTTAGGCCCTCTTGGGCCGTCTGGGGGGGCTTGGATCGTCATTGTAGCAGCTGCCGCGCATCGTTGCATCGCAGTTCGACTCTGTCTGGCCGCCGGCCGAGTAAACGTCACCAGTTTTTAAGGCGCGGCCGTTTAGGTTGCCACTGCACGTGTGCTGGGCGTTGCGTGTTTGTGTGCATGTTGTGTGTGCGTGGTAGGTTTGGTTTTACCTTTGCGATGCGATGTTGAAGCTTGTGCTGGGCACTCCTCAGAGGCAAAGCTATGCTCGGATCTGTTGCCTTCTGTTGTCTTGCCTTGATGTTGCATCTGACGGCCGACGCACATGAGCGAGCGAGAGGTCCTTAGACCTCCTAGGCGCAATCGCGCCTATCCGCACGCAGCGTGCCGATGGTAGCGCGAATGCAATTTTTGTTTGTTCTATCGGTGTCGGGCCCAAAAGAGAATCCCATCACTGAGAATGCTCATGCCCGGGCCCGGGGCCACTGCCGTTTTTTTTTGTTTATTTGTTTGCGTTGGTACTGTGTCCGCGCGTTTCCCGTCGCTGCGCGATTATATTTTAGAGTGTTGCCGATCCCCCCATGCCCCAGCGACCCATCAGTCTCGCGAAGCTTCGGCCGCTCCTGGCCGGGAGGGCCGAAGAGTAGGAGCGTGGGACAGGGAAGCATCGGCATAGCATCGGCATCATATACAGAAGTCAACAACGTTCTGGGGGATGCCAGCCCGTCCTCGGAAAGCTGGCCCGACGCCAAACTTCGTGACATCTTTGTTGCTCTGGTCTTGGTCCGTGCTTGGGTCAGATCTGTGGTGCGAACTATCATGTCTCCCTGCCTGTCGGCCGCGCCATCGCGGATAGGCCGGTACAGCCAAAACAAAGGTAGCATCACAATTTTAATGCTGCGCTGCTCGCCGCACTTTCTGTGCAGCGATGTGCTTGTGCGGTGCCATGCTGTGTGGCGCGCGAGGCATAGCATAGCGCGGCAAAGATCTGCCTCGCCAGAGTAATGCATGTTTCGGTGCGCCGGCCCATTCTCTATCGGCCACGCGGCCGGGGCAGCAGAGCACAGTGCTGAGAGAGAGTGTGTGTGTGTGTGTGTGTTGGGCTCGCCGCGTCTTGGCGCGGGAAGGGTGGCAACGCCCCTCTCGCTCCAGACGAGGCGTCGTCCGTAAACGTGATGGCTCAAAGTGCGAGTCACGAGGAAAATGGTGCACACTCGATCCGACGAGGAACGACAACGCCGTTTCCTGGTCCGGGTGGCCACCAGCGTGTCATCCCTACTACTAGTATCCATTCACTTTCACATCCCCCTTGAACCCAACACCTCACACCACTTCACTTTCAGCCCATCCGTGACTCGAGAGAAGCTGACCCTCCTGTCTGGGGGCACTGTCGTGCAGGAGCATCTGGGTAGATTCGGGGACAGGTGAAAATGGCAGAGGATACGAACGTGATCTCAAGTGCTGGGGCCTCTTGGGGGGCCTCCCACGGCACTCAGGGGGGCTCTCCTTTTTTCTCACTGCGAGCACTCGATCCTTCCGCAAGATGAGGTGGCTCATGTGGCAATTGACGGATTGTCAGCCCAAACAGCCTGTCCTTACACTATCGAGGGCAATCACCACGATGCTAAGTAAGACGGATCATGAGCCTGGCCGCGGAGCGCGTCTTGGAGGGCAGGGGAGGGGCGGGAGGACTGCCAGTAAGGGAGGGGGGTGGGCGGGGGGCCGAGTGGCCCAAGTGCCACCTCGGCTGCCGTAGACCTGCCAGTCAGGGCTCGGCCTGAGGGCGCCCCTAACTCCCTAGGCGAAGATTCGCACCGGCAACCCGCGGGCCGGC